TCTGTAAATTTGGTTACATATTCAATGAAACAACAGGTCTCTGCGAAGGTATGTTAACATTTATAATCCATTTTTATTTTAAATTCATAAGTAATATATATTCCATTTTTATTTCAAATTCATATTCCATTTTTTGTTTTAAATTCATAATTCATTTTAACTTTACATTCATAATTATTCTGAAATATATCCTTATTTTAGCATAAGTGACATTTTATGCAGATCTAAATCATTCAGCAAACAAGTTTAGCAAACTGACTGTAAATTGTTTAGAAAACTTTGATTATAGAAATCTTGGATAAACTGGAGTATGTTTTATTTTTTATATAGGAAATGCTAACTAATACTTAATCGCAAAAGTTGAAAAAAAGCAAAAATATTTCACTATTTAAAAGTTTTTCATACATTAAATTAGGTCTGATTTGTAAATAACGAAATCTAAAAGTGTGCTTGAATCTCTTTTTTATGAACCCAAAATCTAATACACCCAAGACAGTTTTTAAATATAAGCGAAACCATTTTGGAGGAGATTTTTTATTGTACTGTCTACAAAATTGTGAAAGAGAATTGTAAGCATCGTGAGATTAAAGAACCAGCTCCCAATCAACGCAGTTGAATAGAAATTTAGTTGGTTTTCATTGTTCTGTTGTTTAAATATTATATGTTTTCAGGGGGTATTATTGGGTTTAATGCTGTTTGTATTAAAAAATGTTGGAAAATGATCAATCAAATCAGTTTCTATTAAACATGTACTAAAGTAATTATTAAAAAAGTTTTAGTAAATATGTTATCGAGTAGAAGAACTTTTTGTGATCCTTGTTGGTTTGTTTAATGATGGAATGAGATTATTTTGTAAATGTGTATTTATAAATTATTCACCGCAGTTATATGTTCCATTGTACAAAAGAATAATATTCAGGTCACCTACAAACTAAACATACTTTTGAGTTTTATTAACTTTAGATAAAAAAGTGCTCGAGCAAATTTTGAAATTTTTTTTAAGTTACACGCTTGTTATTTATAATCAGCATTAACAATTATGATTTGAGGATTTTGGGTAATAATTTAAACGCACAAATACTTGCAATCTTTTTCATTAACACCGAGGTCATTACATGGTATAAAATTAGATTTATGGATAAAAATACAAAATCCACCACCTGTACGGAAGTTTCGCGGTTGGTGCACTGATACCTAATTTGTTAAGTAAAGTTGCAATTTATATTTGTCATATTTACAACAGGTCTCAAAATTATTTTTCTTACAACAGTGATAGACAAATTATTTTAAAGTGGTGACTTAATTCATGCATTTAAAGTTTAAATTTTCATTTATACTTTAAGTATTAATATTTAAAATTGAAAATGTAGTTTTATTTAGTTCAAGATGAAGTTTAGTCTCTGTCCTTATACTTTATAGCTTCAGAACTATTGTCCTATGCTTTTATCTCTCTCTTTGTCCCACTCAATATGCTCTTTAAAATTTTTGTGTATTTAACTTTTAGTCATTACTCTAACTTCATTTGTTCTATCTTTTCTTAAATTATTCCTAAACAAACAATCTTCCATCACTCTTAGTTTGTTTCTGACTTTTTAAATTTTACTTTAACCTTTACTTTTGTTGTTAATTTGTTTTTTGTTTTATTATCCTAAACTTTGACAAAATTATTCATTTTGAGCAAAACTAATTTTTTTAATTTCATTGACTTTGATTTCTAAAGATATTATCATTTGACAAATAGCGTTTTAATTGTTTGCAATATTATTTGTTTTTGTTATGTTCATTATTGCATTAATTCAAATTTAACGAGTCGCTCCGTTAAATTTTCATATTAGTATGAACTTTTAAAAGAACTTTGCTTATATTAGGAAGTAATATAAGCAAAGTTCTTTTCCTGTTACTTCAAAAGTTGTTCAGTTTTTTTCCAAGATAATGTTTTTTTGATTTTCTAACATACCAGCTACCATTCTCTTTACATTTTCTTTTAATATTTTTTTAACCAATACTTCATTACAATTTTTTATAAATATTTTAACCATTACTTTATTACAATTTTTTATAAAGATTTTTCAGTAAATGAAAGTTATTTAATTTTTCTTCAAAAAAAAAAAAAATAGTTCTACACATTAAAAGATATTGAAAAGTTTATGAGTCAAGAAAATAAGATAAAGGGAATAAATTCCAAAGAACAAATATTTTTTGGAATTCGGTACCTTCATCTTGTTTTCTTCATTTTCCTGTGAATGTATCTAAGTGCTCCAAAAACTATTTTTTTTGACGAAATAGTCAAGTTGTCAATTGGTAATAGCATTGGAAAGACCAGCTACACTAGTGATTCTCCCTGCCGCCTTGACATGCACATATCAGGCTCTGGTAAACCGTAATTCGTGCAGCAATTCTTTTTTTAAAATAGAAGATATTTCAACTACTCTTCGTTGAAATAAAGTAAACCTATTAATTAGGCTAATGAAAAATCAAACTTGCTATTTGCTGATAATTAGTCAATTACTGGCAACACAAAATAAAAAATCATTTATAAACGAAGTGATTGCTTTATGTAAAACTTGTGGCTTGAACATCTTACAATGCATGATAGAAAGTAAAAAAATTAAATTCACACTACCTTAAAAAAGAACTGCAAGCTGAAAATATATCAATATTAAAAGAAGCGTTCCAGTTATGAAACTTAAAAGAACAAAGAAAAAAATTTAAAACAATGATGGAGGAGAATATTTCTAAAATAAATCTAACCGTCTAATCGGTCTAGTTATTGGCATTACAAACAAATATTTAGAGGGCCAAGACTGGCCTTAATTTAATTTGTAACTGTTCTAATATAAATTAGTTTACCTGTAGTTTTATTACTGGGTGTTTATTAAATAATAATAATAATAATAATAATAATAAAAATTAAACTAGACTATTAATAATTTTTAAAGAACTTAGAAACAGTCACAGTAAAAGGATAAGACTTTAATAAATGACGAGTAAAATGATAATGAATTTCGGTAGAAATTCATTATCGTGTTACTCGTCATTTATTAAAGTTTTATACAAGAGACGCTAGATCCTAAGCCACGATCATCGCAGTATTTAAAAAAAAAAAGGTGAAGCAACATAATAATGATGAGCAGTTGAAAGTTGGTTGCAAGAGAGGTCTGCTCTAGTAGTTATAATTACAAAATGGGTTTTTGCTGCTTGTCTAAAAGAGAAAGGGTATCATTGAAGGATCCACCACAGATATGGCAATTGTATTCCATATAAAAATGAATTTAAAACCTATATAATCGAATCTGGAGTTAAAAGTGGCGAACTCAATAAAGAGATGCAGTCTTAACAGATGCTAATTTTGTAATAGATTCGGTATATGATTTTGCAAGAAAGATCGGAAGTCAAAGGGTAGATAAATCATTGAGTAAATTACCGTTTATAAATATAGGAAAATCAAGATTATTACAATAATTTCAAAGTTAGCATCTGCTAAGGTTGCATCTCTTTACTTCCTTATTTTAGATTCTATTCTTTGTCTCTAAAAACCTGTATTCCGTACTTTTATGACATACTGTTGCCATATCTTTAAATTATGCATTTTTTGCATCATTCAAATATATAGCATATTAAGCGGATCTTTGATTGATGTATTTTCTCTTTTAGAAAAGGTGTAAAAAACATTGTAAACATAGTTGGACCTGCTCTTACAACCAACCATTAACAATTTTTGCTTCATCATAATCTTAATTCTCTTTCTATCTTCTATAAATATTGCAATGGGCGCTGTTCTTAAGAGCTGGCGTCTCTTGTGCGATTTACTAAAATTCATTCTTGTGTTACTTATTATTCAAATAAGTCTTATCATTTTACTGTGACTGTTCCTCTAACGCTCAAAAAATTCTTAGTTGTCGACTTTTTTATCTCGAACATAAGTTTTTTGGAGTTGGCCTCCATTATCTCGTTTTCCTAATTCATATAATTTGCATTCTTTTAAAGCGTCAGCTAATTGTTATCTTGGTTTATAAACTTCATCTTCTCTGTTTCGGTAACTTCATACTGTATAAGTAACTCTTGCAGCATTGTTTGAAGTAAAGAAGTTTAAAAAAAATAAAATTAAAAATATTATTATTATTCATGTATTATTCCTAATTATTTAATAAACTGTACGCATGGCTGAATATCATTAAAACCTTTATAAGTAAGATTTAAGAAATTCCGATCAGCAAATTAGTTCAATGCTCATGTTCAAAAAAGTTGCTACCAAACCTCAATCAGATACAATCCAAGAAACAGTATAATAGAAATGTGATTCAAAGTCATTTTGCACTAGGTTTTCTAACTATAAATTAGATTTAATTATAGTTATTCTAAATTACAGTTTAAATGCATGCATGCAAGATGTTAAAATTAAGTTGTATGCATATAATATAATTCTTTCATCGATCATAATTCATTACGAAAATAAGTAAGTAAAGTTAGTTTTTTTCCTAATTGATTTATTTTTTTAAGAAACACCGTAAAGCTTAAGTTTTATGGAAAAAAATAAAGACAACAAAGAAAAATAGTTGTTTTTCTCTGCTAAACATTATTTTTCCTTATTCTAATCAGAGGTGAAAATAGTCAATCTCTTGGTGATTTTCGAAAGTATCCTCTTTTTTATATGATTTAGATAAAATCTATTTTATCTATAGTATTCATAGGTGTTGGTTTATTTATAATCTTTTTCAGTTTTTATTTAATTGCTGTTTTTAAAAATAGTTGAAATAATAATATTAGGTGTTTCAAATTTTTTATAAAATCTTTATCATGGTCTGATGTAAAACTAATTGACTTATTTTATTTTGTTTCTAGAGTTTTTAAATTTAATGATGTCTAAAGATTTTGATAAAATTATGAAATCATTACCAATATATCTAATTTAAAAATGTTGCAAGTCATTGACTACTTTGTTCGAAATGCATTTAATTAAAAATTCAGGAAAAGTCATGTTTCTTCTGAAAACTTAATTGCGAGACATGCCAAAACAATATCAAAGAGTTATTTTTAAAAGTAAAATT